AAACAGAGGAAGAAACTCATGAAAGCTGCCAGTTGTCAATATACTTCTGCTTCAAAGGGTAATTATGAATTGCTCCATCTTAAGCTCTCTTCACAGTGGAAAGCTGGGACTATGGGAGACATAAGTGCCCTTGCTGTCCTTAGTGTTTCCCTTTTACAGCCTGGTGGTTGTGCAGCAGCAGCTTAGAAGGATGGCAGGTGACTGAACACCCTCTTGATTTTAAGGGAATGGTGCCTTGATGCTGTCTGTTAGCACACCCTTTTTTTGGGTGGGGAGGAAAGCCCTTCCCTCAGTGTTGTTTGGAGTAGTGCTGCTCGGTAATGCCTGTGCTGTGGGAGCAAATCTAACATCTGATGTAGGAATTGCATGTCCTTACAGATTGGTACTGACAGGTCAAATTTGCTGTGTTTTAAGTTTGTTTTTTCTCAAAGCCTGCTGAGACAAGAGGCTGTGGTGATCCTCAGCCCCATGGCTGAGTGTGGGTATAGTCCAATGGCTGATGTGCTGTGAGGAGGTTGCCCCATGACATTTTTTCTCCCCCAGATGCAGCTTCATTCCTGAGAAATTTACCTTTTCTGCTGGTAGGGTCTTATTTGTGTACTCTTACTCTCCCTTTCTGGTAAGGTGTTTTGTAGCTTGAACCTTGCTCCCTTCCTCACCTCTCTCGTGGTTGCAGCTCTTGGCAGACCCAAGGTAAGAGCCAGTGTAGAGTGGTGGTTCCACAGCTACTGATGTCTGACAGAGAAGGAATCTGCTGAGGCCTCAATGCTGCTGAACAGAGGCAATTTATAACTTCTTGTAGTAGTTTTAATAAAAAAGAGACAAAAACTACAATCCCCCTCCTCCTATTTTAGTAAGCTGGGCCAGAAGCATCTCTCAGAGTGAGCAGAGTTAACCTTCATCATTGTGGCATTGACTGACAACCTGGAGGATGATAATGTATGATTTTTTTTTTTCTCCTGGTGAGCGGGGGTGGAGAGTGGAAATTGCAGTTTCTCTGCTAATTGTACTTTAGATGTCATTTGTGACAATTTCATATTGTCTAGACAGAGATAGTGGAGCAATTGCTTCCACAGAGCCTGGTGTTAGCCTGTTATAGATCTGGGTAGCAAAAATGGAGGGCAGGGGAGAAGAAGAGGATGCTCTAAGCACCAGAGAGGATTCAGCAGTCAAGCATGGTCTAGGTTTCAAAAGGAGATGCAAGCAATATGAATTTCTGTTCTCTCTTTGCATGCTTCACTGTTGGAAACACAGATACTTAGTGGCTAGCAATTCCCTGTAACTGAGCTACTCTTATTTATCCATGGATTATGCTTATCCTCCTTAGCAGAATTGTTCCTAACCTCAGCCTTTACCATGGTAGAATATTGGGCTGCCTTACTGAAAACAAAGTTTTTATCTCTTTTGGGACTTCAGGTGGCAAAAGCTGTGAATGTGGCCCCTGAGACTTGGAGTGCAGTGTGACTTTAAAGATCTTTGTTGTTGCCTTTCTGGAGGACAGTAGATCACACTCCCAGTGTCACAGATAGGACACTTTTTATTGATCATTATAGCAGTGTATCTATTATTGAACCCATTTGTCAGTACCAAATGCATTTGGATCTGTAACTTGGCCCCCAGTGGCTCAGTCTAGAATGAATTAGTTAAATAATAGATTTTATTTGTGTTTAGTAGTCTGGCTTCAGTACAGATACTGTTATTCTCTGGAGCATCAAGCACAGAAATGGTCCCACTGGATCTCATTGCATGTTGCCTTATTTTGGTGTTTGGGTTTTTTTCCTTACTATCTACCTATTTGTTGCTCTGTGATCTTAGAGGACACAGTTGTAGGACAATTAAGCACCACCAATCAGGCATAGCTTTTAGCAGTTACTGTAAACTGAATTATCTTTGTCCACCTTTTCTGAATGTGGCCCTAGTATGTGGCTTGTGCGCCTCAACGTGAGATAGTGCTGGAGCTGAGTTTGTTCTTGGAGGGCTCTACCAGGCAGGGCATCTGTCATAGCTGAGACTGTTCCATTTAGACAAGCAGAGCCTCAGAGAGGGTCCTGGGGAGTGTTCTTCATGGGGGGAATTTGTCATCCTGCTGCCCACAACCCTGTAACTAGTGGTCTTCCTAGGGAGCCCTTTTGGTGAAGGGTGTGTTCTCAAAGTATCAGCAGCATCTCCTCTTGCTTCGTGTCCTGGAGCTGCAGGTTGTTCTGGTAAAATCACAGGGCTCTGAGTCTTGTGAGGTCTGTTTACCTAGGTATTTGGCCATCCTGTGGCTCAGGTAACTGTTGGTTTGCACTTTACTAAAGTAACACATACCAGTTCTCTAGTAAGGTGCCACCAAGGTCCTTCAGGTATTTATTTCAAGGATCAGATGGATATAGAATGGGGAATGTGCAGTTCTCACAACTGCTGCTCTCAAGCCAAACAGAGGGGCTCCTGGCAGAGCCATGCCAAGTTACTACATGTGCCCTGCTCCTGTTTCCACACCCTTCTGATGTCCTCTGGGTGGTATACATTTTGACTTCCTTCTGCACAGCTGCTGACTGCTTTTTGAAGGTAATCCTCAGAAGCCAATGCTCTTCTTGGGCAATTAGCAGCCTTTCCAGAGATGGGAAGAGAAGTATGGCTGGAGAATACCAGGAGACTCCTCCTAACAGTCTGCTGGGCCATGCAGCATGTGCTGGTTACCTTCTCTCGTGGCTCTGCTTTTGCTGTGTCATTTAGTGGATAGAACCTGAAAGGCTGGAGGGTGGCATGTGCAGTGTGTAGATGCCAAGATTTTTGATAGAGGCTATGAGTTTGGTTATTAGTGTGTGCACATTACCAGGACACTGTAGGTGTTGAAGGGAAGTGGCATCAAACCAAGGCACTTGTGTGGTGTGCAGGTTGCTCACATCTGTAAGGAGGCAGCTGCTGTTTCTGGGGCTTTGGCCTTCCCAGGATATGTGGATGATGGATCTTTCTCCTGGATTAAGTGCAGTGATTGGGCAGGGTGGTCCAGTAAGCAGCTTGACCTCATCCAGGCTGCTTGTGATATTTTTTTGGAGTGCTTTGCTTAAGCTGCTCTGAAGTATAGACTTCTATAAAGCACCTTGGCAGTAACCCAGTCTCTGAACTATGAGCCAGTGGTACAGAAAGGGGCCAACTGACTGAATAGGTAGAATATCCCTTCTGCTCACTTTAATCTGTTTACCTTTCCCCCTAGAGAGGATACAAGCAGTTTATATAGGATGCAAGTGATAGGTATACCTCACAGGTATAGGATTTGATGTAGACCTCATAAAGCTACTGCACCATTTGTTCTGGACTGGCTGCTTTGCACATATTGGGTGCAAGAGAGAGATTTTGGTAAGAAAATATGATAACTTTATGGGGAGCCAAGAGATTCCTAATATCTACCAGTGTTGAAGGTTAGAGCTTTTGACTCAGTAACCTGGGGAATTAATTAATCTCAAAGTTTAAGAGATTTAATAACTTGTTCTTGAATAAGGCAAATGGTTGCCAAGCAACTTCGTGCCAGAGAGGACAGGCTTTCTTGCCTCCTGTAGCATCCCAGTGCTTTGCAGCAAGTGCTGAGTCTCTGAGCTGACATATGCTTTTCCAAGTAACTGGAGTGATCTCTTGCTGTTTTCTGTATTCCAGATTTATCATGTAAAATTGGTGGTTTTACTTTGCTTTTTTAATTGCTAGAAGGCAGTGAAAGTTAAAGGTGTCTTGAAATCCTCATGAGGGGCTGCTGCTGGGGGAAAAAAAAGTCTCATTTGCATTTCTACTGTCTTCATCTGGCTAGAAATGGGAAGTGGGGCATGGGTTATATCTGGTCCTGCTTCCTGTGTTGACACTTGCTCTCCTGCTTTGCAAATACTAGCTGCAAATAGGAGCGTGGGGCTAAGATGGTTCAAAACTTCCTCACCAGTTGGGTGGGTGAGTAGAACAGATGTGGTGTTGGACCTCTTTGACTTTCAAACCACAACAGTTTGCATTAAGTTACAAAGACTGGAAAACAATATAGCAGGAGTTCTGAAGGGAAAAAAAAAAGACTTGAAAGGGAACTCGGCAGCCTTATAAACTTTGGCAGTTGGATTTTTCCATTCTCTACACCCTCCTCAAATCATCTCTCTTGTGTTAATCTAATGGCTGCAACAGGCTTGAATGAGTCAGTCTTGAAACAATGCCATCTTCTTCTTTATGACAAGAAGCTAGATAAGAGTTGCATGTAGAAGCCAGGGTGGAGGATGTGTTCCTGCTATATACTTTTGATTCTGCTGCCTTCATGACTCAGACTCACTTCTTGCATATTCAAACTGTCTGGCTGCATTTGCATACATTTACTTCTTGAGTGAATATTTGGTGCTTCTCCCTATGGCTGATTAAGATACAGAGGAAACAAACTTTTTATTGTAGTGGAAACTGCCTCTTTTTGAGCTTTGAGACTAAGATTGGCTATCTTATTGTAAATAAACACCAGTGGTGCCCTTAAAGTCCACATGTGAGGTGTGTTCTTTGTCTGGTGCTCCTTGGCCTGTTCCCTGTGTAGCCACCTAGGAGCAGGTAAGAATTGGACAGATGGTCAATGCAGCATTTAAATAAACACCAGTGGTGCCCTTAAAGTCCACATGTGAGGTGTGTTCTTTGTCTGGTGCTCCTTGTGTTCCCTGTGTAGCCAACTAAGAACAGGTAAGAATTGGGCAGATGGTCAGTGCAGCATTAGTGTTTATGGACCTGACAAGTTGGGATTGCTTGTTTCCAAAGGAAAAGTAGCATCTGCTTCTTTCTCTTGAAGCTTGGAAGCAGGTTTGAGACCACTCTTCTTTCTTGAGGTGTTCTTTCTCCTGTGTGCCTTGAATAGCTGTGTGGTGAAAACACTTCTGCTGTCAGTGAGTGGTTCAGTATGTTACAGAATTCTCTGCACTAATGATAGAAATAGTCTGAAGAGTTTTTAGAAAGTAGGAGGGGGATGTTCCTGAATGGTCTTTGACTTTGTCATTTGGTTTTTTCCTTTCTAGGAGGTTGCTTGAGTCTTCCCTCATTTCCTTATCTCGCTACGATGGAGCAGGGTCCAGGGAACATCCCATCTACCCAGATCCAGCCAGGTAAGAGCTACATGCAACCTGAAGGCATTTAAGTTTCATAGGCAAAGCAGAACTTCAATATCACTCGTTGAATCCTCTGGGGAATGATTCTGATATTGGGCCCATCTCTTCCTCAGTGACTTGCCATGGGGGCAGGGTGCAAACTAAAGGAGAAGATGGTGTTAAATGTGGAAGAGGATGAGTTAAAGAGGAAGGAATTGCTGTTGAAGTAAGCACATGAGCATTCCTGAAATCATTTGGGATGGAGGAGACTAGATGATAAGCAGTAAATGAGATGATATCAATAAATTTGAAATTTCTTTTGAAGGAAAAACAAATTGCCTGTTCAGGAGTAAGGAGGATGAAGTAAAGGCAATTATGACCTGGTGAGAGTGGACATGCTTGAAAGAATGGAATGTCTCTGTAAATATATCCATGTGAGAGAGGGAGCTTAGCCAGGATGTTATGTGTACTTAACTAAGAACAAAAAAACTGACAATTCTTTCTGAAGAGTCATGAATCATTGACATTAGACATAGAAACACCTGTAGTGCTGCTTGATCTGTAGAAGAGGTGGGAGTGTTCAGAGGACTAGAAAAAGCAAACATGACACAATTAACAAAAATGGAAAGGGATGATCTTTGCAGTTTGTACTTGATGTATTAAGCAAGCAACACATGGGATAATGGGGCCTGCAGGCTCTGTCAGAAGAAATGATAGAATCGTGAACAGCAAGCAGCTTTGGAAGCTTTCAAAGAATAAATCGTGACAAATAACCTCTCTTTAGATGAGTTTTAACAAAACTATGAATGAGGAAAATTCAGTAAGTGTAAAATATAGCTGATTTAGCCTCTTGGGGCACTTCTGGCATAACTACATAGGTTGAAGGCTAGGATTTATCATAAAGGACAGTACAGGAATACCAGCTCATGAAAAATACCAAAGTTGCTGGAGAAGGTTGGTTTATTGTTGTTTTGGTTTTGTTGTTTGTTGCTTTTTAAAAAAAAATCTTGTTCTTTTTTACATTATTAACAATAATCTGCATTTTTATGCAGATGATTCTCTAAGCTCTAAAATAAAAGGCTATGTTGCAAACTGGCCACGTGATGTAATTATGCTGGTAAATGACTCTGTGCTATCTCTGTAGATAAAGCCTTGTAAAGATAAAATCTTGGTTTAGGCTTTTTTTTTTTTCCATTTATTGTGAAGAAAGTTGCTTTGTAAAGCTAGTTCAAAGACTCAGGAATGATGCAAGTCAAACTGTTTGCAGGGAGGTGAAGGTAAGGTGAAGTGTGCTACCTATGTGAAAGGTCATTGGGAAATGAAGCTACTTAAGTGCAGAAGGTCTTGGCAACTGTGTGTCAGGACAATGCTGATAACTGTAAAAGCTTTTAAAATTACCATTAAATGACAAGTAGAGGGATTGATTTACCTGGAGAGATAAAAAGGATATTTTACAAACATTAATTAAAAGGTATTACTGCATTCAAGTCAGTTTATGAATGCCAAGAGCTGGTAAATGTCTGGAAGTGCACCATTCCTTATTTCTGGAATGCATAATCCAAAGCAGGCAGATTTATTGAGAGATTTTAAGAACTGATTCTGCCTTTCTGGGAGCTGCTTTTTAAAAAAGAAAAGCAGGAAGGCCTGCCTAGGTTACTGAATCCTTTTTTTTCCTTCAGTCAGACCTCTGCTATGATGAAGCTCAATAAAATGAATGAAAAGGGATCAATGCCTGAGACATTTCCTAGCATAAGGAGCATTATCAACAATGATTTTCTACTTGAAGCCATCTTTCAAATGTTATGATGGCCTTCATGTTACAGTTCAGGTGTTCCTAGGTTGTGGTAGAAGGTACAATACCTTGAGTTCATAAGGAGCTTTGGAAGAAAAGTCCAGTGTTGAAACTTCTTCTGAGAGGGTTAATTTTCCTCCAGTAAGTGTCACTGTCCTTTTCAGAGGATGACATTTACAGATACATGATCAGCATGAGATGGAAGTTTGAGTGGGGTAAGCAGAGTCTTCTTCCATAAACCTTACTGGTGTGCTAGGCTGGTAGGATCTTTTTAACTATCCCTTTAACTTGTTAGAAGTTGGGGATGTGATTAAAAACAGTGTTTATTGCTTTTTGAAGCTTTTTGTAGTTGCATGGTAAGTTTGTAAGGGAAAGTATAACAAAGTAGAGAAGTGATAAGTGAAATATAGATGTATATATGTCTCTGTGTGTGCTTAAATATTAAAAATGTGTCTACTTAAGGCCAAGCTGTCTCAAATAGAGCCTTTTTTAAGGCTTTTTTTATCATACCTAAAGTGTATGATCTGAGGAGTTTATTTTTCAGGGTGTGCCCATGTTGTTTTTGTTTCTGCATCTACAGTCTGTAATGGTGCTAGGTTTGAATAACTTAGGTCAGGAGTGAGGCAGGGGGAACATTTTTTTTGAAGTTCCCTTAGATTTAGAGTGGATATTCTGATATAGACTGCAGCAATCTTTCTCAGTGGCCTTGCTGAGCTTCTCTAAGGTCAGCTGGGCTGTTTTGTCATTCTCCACAGTTTCCATATGTTACTCAGTTCAGAAAACAATCTGCAGAGGAATCAAATAAAGCTGTCATCAAAGAACATAAAACTGTCAAAGAACACCCTTTTTTTTTTTTTTAATAGAAATACTCAAAAAGATGCTCCTGGACTGCAAATACAAAGCATCAGAAGGGTGATAGGTAGATATGTCTCCAGACAAAAAATCTATGCTGCTAGAAAGTTGCTGGGAAAGAGACCTTCAGGCCAAATGTGGTCTGTGAGTTGAAGGCTTAAGTGGAATGGAACCAACCAAAAGTTGGTGTCATCTCCCAGCATGTCCTTCATCTCAGGGATTGGTGCTGTGTACACCACTGTAGATATCACCAGTGAAATGAATGACACCAGTCAGGTAACCTCTTAAAAACATGTCCACTGGCTGGGAGACATTTAGAGGTGTGAGCTGTAAGAAGGTCAGTGAACATCCTGGGATCAAGGAGGGGGTAATGGTGTGAGCTGTAAGAAGGTCAGTGAACAGCCTGGCATCAAGGAGGGGGTAATGAGAGGTGTCAGTACTTCTGAAATGTTAAGAAATGTGGGGGTCTGCACAGCAGTACAGTGCTGTTGGATGCAGATATACCAGCTCTTGTGGCTCTCTTGGGAAACTGGGCCTAGACATTCTCTACTTGATGTTCTTGATTTTTGCTATTTTTGTGCTATGTTCTTGATTTTTTTAGCTCGCTTTTTGCTACTCATGATGCCATTTAGAGCAAAATACTTGGACTTTACTAATGCTAGCAAAACATTTCCATCCCTCAGACTTCTCACTGGCCAGCCAGCAGCAGTGGGTGCCTAGAGCATGCACTGCCTCTCGATGAGATGGCTGTTGGATGAGACAGAAGCTGTTCTGGTTTTTGCACTGCAGCTCTTCTCCCACTCAATGCCTTGTTCTGTGGTGGTCATGTGTGGCAGCATAGCCTCTCCTCCTCTGAGCCATCTGCTCCAGCAGATGGGGTCCAGTCACCTCAGAGACTAGGTTAATGTAGCTCCTATGATGTTGTCAAAACCAGCCTACTGTCCTGGGGATATAAACTTGGTTTAAGAATTACTGGATCACCTCTCTGTGTTCTGCCACTGCTTTGGTAGAAGCTAGAGGTGAGAAAGGGCTGGACTAGGCAACCTGCTGTGTCTGCTGTGTTTAGCCAGCTGGTGGAATAACTGGGGTCAGGGGCTGATCTACAGTTGTATTCAACAGCTGAATGACCTGAGGAGAGATGCTTCATGTTAATTGCTGTTTCTTATGCTGCTTTGCAGCCTTCTCCTCCCTCCAGGACAGCTAAATCTCTTGTGCTGGGTCTCAGCTCTGGTTCTGATTTGACATAACTGTATTGCAAAGATAGGTACAGCCTGACAAATACAGTTCCTCCTCTCCCCAGCATGCATGCAAAGATAGGTACAGCCTGACAAATAAAGTTCCTCCCCTCATCTGCAAAGATGAATTTTTAGCCTATTGGTTTGAGTGTTTCTCTCCTGCCCTTTTGTATTTGATCCCTCACACCTTTCTCTCTGTGTATCACACTTAGGCTTCTTGTCTTCTCTTTGGAAATCTTTCTCACAGTCTATCCAGTTGACACACCATGTGCTGTCAGGGAGCTGAAGCTGGCATCTTCTTGTCCATTATGGGTAGTCTTTATTGCCTGCTCTTTCATGTTCTCCTAACAAGCAGCATTGTGGGGTTTTGGTTTGTTTGTCATCAGCAAACTTGGTGAGGCTACACAGCATCCCTCCATCCAGGTCATTGATGAAGATGAGTATGTTGAACAAGAGTGGACCTGGTACTGATCCCTGATGTAGCCACCAGCTACAGGCCTCCAACTAGACTCCATGCCACTGCCTCAGAACCCTCTGAGCTCTGTCATTCAGCCAGTTACACCCCTTGGTGTGGTATTAGCAAAGAAAAAAGTTTCACTCATTGCACTGCTGGACTGCTGAGACCACTGTTCATATTTTCCAGTGCTGCCTTGTTTCCATGTTCCTTTCTTTTTCTAGGTGGACATATTATGCTCTAGACTTACTTTTAGCCATACACAGAGGCTTTGGCTTATGGAGAAGGCCAAAGAAGGGAACAGCTCCTCATTTAGAGTGCACTGCTGCAGTGGGGTGGTGTTTTTTTTATACTTAGCCTATTAAGTCTTCAGGGGAGTAAAGAGAAGTGCTGTGTTTGTACAGCAAAGCTTTCTGTGTTGTATAACCATGAACAGCTTTAATTCATCAAACAGTGCATAAAAGGTCCAGGAGGAATAAAAAAAAGTGGAACCACACTTTCTTTTTTACCCTTTTGCTGCTTATTGACTAAGTTTTTAGACCCCCTGAGCCTGTAATCTGTCTGCTAAACCTTGATTACCAACGTGGCAGCCTAGGAGGAGTCACAAGGGAGTGACCTTGAAGAAGATGCACTTTGTTGTGTCTACTCGACTTCTAATTCCTTCTTTCTTGTCACCTCTTTTGCTTATATGCCCTGAATGTATGGTGGAATGGGAGATTTAATGCCCTTGATGGGTGTCTGCAGCCAAAACATTAATACAATCTATTCCTTAAAGAATTAGCACTTTTTTTTTCATGCTGCTCTAGGAAGCAGTATCTAGAAGTATTATTAAATGTAATTTTCCACTGAAATATGACTTGAGGGATAATAGCAGAGCCTTTTATGGGACCTGGTCTGATTGCTGCTCATACTGTTGTGGATGTGAAACTTTATCTATATAGAAGCAAAATGTTTATTCCCAATAGATTCCCACAGAATCAGCACAGCTCTGGAAGGGAGGGAGAAAAAACCCAGTCTTCTAGCAGTCAAATTATCAGAGTTGATTACAGAGTTGCAGTTTTGCCACTGGTTTTAGTATAGCTCAGTGAAACTGAGTAGTATTGGTCTCTATGTAGTTGAACATATCCTTTGGAGAGTGTTCTTGGCTGATGATGAGGTCCACTGTAAAAAGAATTTAGCTTGAAACTCTGCTCTGAAGTTGAGTAGTAGACCTGTAAGTTAGACAGGCACCTCTCTTTGTGTTTGCAAATGAATATATTTTCATCTCTAGACTATCCCCTGGAATTCACTGTTTATTTGGGGGACTTGTTTTATTTTTATTGTTTTTAAAGGTGTTTATGGTCTCATTTGTAGATTAAAAATTGGGGCTCTCTCTCCCTTATTGGTCTCTTGCCCGTGGTGCCTTTGCAGGAAATGAGATTGCATTTTCATGACCCTGGGAAGTACCAGGCTGGTACTTGAATGGAATAAAAAAGAACCAAATCAAGCACATGTGTGGAATGGGAAGGAGGAGGAGGAGGGGAGTTAGAAGTTAAAGGAATAGACATCTTGATGTCTAATTGCTTTGGGGGCGGGGGGGAGTGACACGACTGTTATCTCCTCTCCTCCCCCCAAGTTAGAGCTCAAATATAATCCAAATTAGGCTAAATAAATCATTATTCAAGCATCTGAGGTGTCTGGACTTTAACACTGGCTAACCATGTCATCAAAAGCATGATCCTAGGAACTGTGGATATGCTGGGAAGGAAAAGAGAGTGAGTTTTTACCTGTGTAGCATCAAGAAAGGGTGTTATACTGGGGTGTGATAGCTGATGCAAACAAAGGCCAAGTCATGCATGAGAGAATTAAGAGGTAATTGCAGAGGAAGGTTTTTCCTTTCAGGTAGGTTGAAGTGCTTTTAGTGCTTCTCTTAACATATACCTAGTGGATGTGATGAAATTGCCACTGTGTGAAATCCCTACCTTTTGGAATATGAAGTAGTTAAACAGAGCTGTTAAGCCTTTTTTTTTTATCCCCTCCTGCTTGATACTTCATAGTGCTCCATAAGTACCCTCAAAACAACAGCACTTTAACATTTATTTGAACTCTGCTGCTGTTTGGCATTGCAGGCAGAGTTCACAGGGGGAGTGGGCTCAATTCTTAGCAGGGATGCTTGCTGGGATTAGCTCTGTGAGCTGCTATTAAGTGAAATAATGAGCTCCAAAGAGTCCTGAGAAGCAAACTTCTCTATGCTGTGGGTGAGCTTTTTGTCTGTAGGTACTGTGTAGTGCTTCTGCCTTCACAACAAGGGAATCAGGTGGGAGTGCAGCACATAAAGGGAAAATAACTTTCTTTATTTACTCCGTCTCACTCACAGCTAAACTGCAAACAGCCAATTCGTGATACGCTGTCACTGTCCCGGCCCTGTGGAGCTCAAAAGGCAAAATAAGACTGGCTGCCATTCTCTACTTGTGTCACGAGTGTCTGTGCCTCTCTCCCTTGCTCAGGTTGTCTCCTGCTGCCTACTATGCTCAGAGGATGATCCAGTACCTCTCCCGGAGGGACAGCATTCGGCAGCGCTCCATGCGCTACCAGCAAAACCGGCTCCGCTCCTCCTCCTCCTCTTCCACTTCAGAGAACTCCAGCCCATCTGTAGAAGGAAACGATCTGGAATTTGAAGATTTTGAGTAAGTGCATGCTGCCTTGCACTCTTGCTTGAGTGTTGTCAGCAGAAGGCTTCCTTCTGGCTTCCTACTGATGACCGATCAGATACCGCAGACTTCCTGTAGGAACAGGTTCAGTCAAGTCATTCAATCAATCAGAGCAGTGATTGCTACTAATGGGTCTTGTCATTCCTGTTATGGAAATTAAGGATGCTTTAGGGTGTCTTCAACACATCTGGTTATCTCAACCAGATTTAAAAGATTGGTTAAGTAAAGAAAAGGAGAATCTTTTTCTTCTGTGGAACAGATGAGGAGCCAAGAGCTTACCAGAGCCTTCCAATCTGGAAACAGCACAGGAACCATTAAGAGGCTTTGCAGAACTTAGCTCTTTGGTCTAAGGCTGTAGGAGATAACCAGACACGTTGCTACTTTTATTTGCTCTATCTGTACAACTTTGTCAAATTAGCTGAAGTTACCAGGATTGGTTTTTTTGGAAGACTTGGTGATTGTGAATCTGTGTTAAGGCTTAGTTTCCTTGAAGGAGAGCAAATGGCCTCCTATGTCAAAATTAGGAATGACTGCATCCAAACCTTAGAAGAACACTCCTGTAAGCCACTGTATTTCCTTCTAAGTGGCTTTTCTGACAGAGTTTTAAAGCCTATTCTCCAGCATCTGCTTTTGGACTTAGTGATGACCAGTATAATCCGAGCAAACAAATTTACAAACCCTTTCCAATACATTGAAGTATAGTAATGGATTGTTTGGATGGCATGGAGACCAAAAGCTCAGGAGTTTAGATTTAAATCCACTTGAGCAGAAGAGAGAATATGACCTTTTTAGTCTCTCTTCAGTGTTTTCCTTTTCAAGATGGGATTTTCCTTGGGTACTTTTAAGCATTTCATTAATGTTTTTCCTCCCATATGTATATTGTGGTCAAAATACAGGATGATTCTGAGCATGGCCATACAAGTAGTCTACAGTGGTAGTGGAGTAGGGTGGAATAGTCTGAGAGGAGTGAAGCCCTCAAAGTTGGGCTTTTATGTTGCTGCTGCCAGCAGAGGATGCTGTCAACTTTGCTACTATTGTAATTTCCTGTTCACTTGCTGCAGTGAGATGGCATGTTGTTAAAGCTCCATCTCCTTTGTGTCAGGGTGAAGTCCCTTTATGAAGGACACTGGTAATACTAGCTACTCCCAGAAAATCAAGATATTAATTCCTTTCTGACTTTTTAAGTGGTGGTAGACTTTTTTTTCCCCCCTGGGAATGTTGTTCTGTGAAGCTGTTTTGTTTCATGCTTCAGCAATTAGATATTCAGAAGTACAGAGTGAGTGAATGTGTTCCTGTCATCATGGCCTTATTTGTGTTAGATGTAAATGAGGGGAGATAACTCTGAAGAGTGACTGCCTAGCAGCTTTTCCCAAGCAGCTTTGTGATCTGAAAGAAGAGAGAGATGGGGGGGTGCTGGGCCCATTTTGTGAGGTGGGTGCATCACAAGCACAGACCTTAATATTTCCATTATTCCATTCCATTTGTCTGGCATATTCTGCTGGGAGAATAAAAGATGGTAAGTTCTTCATTCACAGAGCCAGGCAAATGCCTGCAGAGAAGTGTGTTCCCCTGCAGATAATGTTCACACAGTAAATGCACTCGGTCAGGGAAGCAATTCAATCAGCCATGCTAAGGTTGTCTTTCACTCCATACTGAGCAAAAAGAAGTGTTTATTCCTTACTGTGCAGTGGCTGAATTTGTTGGTTGAATATTTCATATTGAATTCTGGTCTGTTCATTCAAGACATGCTCTTTTTCCCTTCTCTGCTTCATTATTTCTCCTGGCTGATTAGAGGGAGCTGCTGTGCAGGGGTCCTTAGAGCTGGAACTTTTCTCATGACTCATTTGATTTCTTCTGCTGACACTTCACAGTCAAATCTCTAACACAGAGCTCATACTTCTTTTGCCTCCTGTATCTCTCCTCCTTTGTGTGCTTACCTGAACAGAGTCATGTATTTCTTTGTGTATTCCTTTCTTGATCTAGGTGCCCTGGCTTCTCTGCTTCTCGAGATATGATGTAGGGCAGGGAGTTGCTACTGTGTTTAGCTGTCTGCAGCTCATCCAGTGAATGAATCTGGTGACATTTTTTAAATGTAAAAGCCATAGCAAATTGCCTTGATGCTTTACCAACCACATTAGCCAGTTTAGAAAGATAAAAATTCTCTCTTTTTCCTAGAGATTGGGAGAAAGATTAAACAACAGTTGATGTTACTGTACATGGAGCTCTGGGCAAGGAGTGAGCCCTGTACTTGTGCAGAGTGCCTGGGAGACACACCTTCATTGTCCCTCCTGTTTTGTGGGGCTCAGGGTTTTTTTATTTCCTCCCTTAAGATTCATTTTATATCTCTTCAGCTTTACTTACCTAATGACCTAGTAAGGGGCCTGAAGAACTGGCCTCTGCACTGATTGTGTGCATATGGCCTCTAAATTTAACTTAAAGCCTCTCCTCCCTTGTGTCATGTCATTTTCTCCATGCAGCTTCTCCAGAATCTCATTTTAATTCATTCATAAGCACATTTAGTTTGTGATGCCCATAACAGTGTTGGTCTCAGAATGTAAATTAGTGTTTTTTATAGGTATTAGTAATATCCTTCTATTACACCAGCTTTTAATGGATAGGGGAGGAGAAGGGAGACACATTCTATACCTGTTATTTGTGTCTAATAAGATGTTATTTCTCAACATGTGCTGCCTGTGTTTAACCTGTCACTGTTGTCATCTGACTGCTTATTGAGTACAACTGACAAGTGTAAACTCAGTCACATCTGCATGAAAACACTTAATACAGTTTGTAATATATATAGATTGTAATATTAGGTTATTAACAGATGAATTGATATGAGTGGGTTTTGAGGTTAGCATTAGCAAAATCCTAAGGTAAAATGAAAAGACTTCTTGTGTTTTGGAATAAGAGTCTCTGAATGGAGAACATCACTTGAGTCTTCCAGCATAACTGGTAAAAATAGATTCCTTATAAACAAGTCATAAACATTGAACTTTCTCATTTCAAGGTCTTTTTTGAGTGGCTTATGTTTGGATCACATAGTAAATTTAGATTTTTAGAGCTAAACTATTTGTTCTTTTGACTTCTTCAAGAAGTTGACAGGTCTTTTCTAGAGACTTCCTTTAGGCTAGAACAGCTCTGATGCAGGAGACTGGGGGGGGGATGCTTCTAGGGCTTCTCAGCTAGCATAGAGATATTTTTTTCATGTGTAATTCTAAATCTTATCACCATAATGAGAATGTGAAGGTGTTTCTGCAGTTGAATTTGGGCCATCTATGTCCCTTTTTGTCTGCAGCAAGCATGGGAACAAATGCAGGTTCATTTAATGTCAGACTGAAAAGCAGATGTACAGGACAGTGCACCAGCTCCCTGTATGAAAGCCCTGCTCCAATCCTTCACTGCAGTTCACAAAGGCTTTCAAGCCAAGGCTAAAGGTATGACTGTGGCTGACTCCTCTGTCTGCTTTTGAGAGTGGGCTGCCTGGTAGAATAGAGATAGGAAGGAGCTTGGAGTTTACAGTCTTTGAATGTCTGCAGCCTTTCCCCTTTCTATCCTCTCCTTTTTCCTTCCTCCCAGGAGGATCTGTGCTGGGGTGGATCCACTCAGCTGTGCCATTGTCAAAGGCTGGGAAGTGTCTGTGTACCCTTACAACAAGAAAGCCTTTACATCACAGGCCTGAAGTCTTGTTTTGGTGCTTTATCTTTTTAATGTCTGTTGAGACACCACTGAGTACCCAGACAGAGAATTATGAGCACTGTAAGCACTGTTACTGAGACCATAATGGGCATTCTGGTTTTGTGGAAGCAGACTCTTGCTTGGCAGAGATGATGAATCACTTACGGAAAGCTTGTAAGGTTCAGGGTGTCATTTAGTGTTATTTGTCAACTTAAAATCCTTTTGTTTAAGGCATGTTGTGGACCAAGATGTGGTTTCTTAGATAGGGATCTTGCAGGGATGTCTTCTTCAGGTGCACAAGATGAACTAGTATCCACCACGCCTGTCTTCTGCTGGTTGGATTGCTTTATTGACACTAGGGAAAGTACTTCCAAATCCCAGTTCCTCCAATAGCCTTTTGCCTTAAAAGGTTCTAAGATTGAAATGTGCCAGCTGACCAGCACTGCATTAAAGCTGTAGGTCTCTATTCTGGTTGCTTGAGTATGATTTTCATTTATTTTGGAGAACAATTTGGTAGATTCTGTTTGGCCTCTTCTGTAGGTGAGGTGTTTGGTTTGGGAGTCTTTGTGTCATAGTCAGTGCTTCACTTCAAGCTGGTATTTGGATTTAACTTTTTTCTATATTAAGGAGAAAAGTGCATGGCTGATTAGACATTCTTTTGCAGTGTCTTCACTTTAAGCATCTTTTCTTGTCAGCTTCTTCAAGAACCTTGACTTGTGCATTGGTAGCTGAAAATTTTAATTAGGAACTGGCTGGAAGCAATGGTCTCAACTCACATTATGCAAGGAGAGAGAGAAGGGAAGACAGTGGCTGTGGCAGGGTGGTTATTCAGTAGTGTGAGCTTGGGTAGTACTTCTGGGTTTGGATTCTGTTCTCCCTATTGCTTCTCGCTTGCAGTGGTGGAAGTGGATTTCAGGGAGGGAGTTACGAGTTGTGGTGAGAATAAGAATGTGGTTTGTTTAATGGTTCAGCTAGAGGTTTTGGGAGGATATATAGAGAAAGAGGTTGGTGCTTACTGGTTACTGAAGTCTTCCTTAGCCTTGTGAAGGGATTCCATGCTCATGTTTAAATCCAGTCTCTACCTTTTCAGTTTGATTCTGTATCCCTTGCTAGAGATACAAAGCAATGGGAGCACTAACCTGCAGAAATGCAAGCAATTCACACTGAGTGTGCCTGCTGGCTTCTCTTAGCACTCAAACCAAGAGCACATGGGTAGAGCTTGGTTGGAATCTTTGTACAGCTAGTCTTGGTCTTTACTGCCCTCCTCCTTAGCTGCTCACTGTGCATTTGTGTAATTCAGAA